CCATCTACTCTGCACTTGTCAGTCCTGCCCCCCTCCCCCTTTTCTCTGTACCTGCTCTCCCCTCCCCTGTTTTCCTTCCCCCACCTCTGACCTCCACTTTGCGCAACCTACTGTACACAGAGTGGCAGTCCCGCCCTGTCCTCTCTCAATCTTCTCTTTTTTATCCCTTTCTCCCCTCCCTGCTTTCCACAAGCCCTTCTTTTTCTGCTGCCCATGTCTTGTTCCTTCCCTCCCCTTCTTTCCTCTTCCCTTCTTCCTTGATTCTCTCCCCTCTTCTCTCTTCCTTCTCTTTTTTCCTTCTCTTTTCTCTGCTGCTTGCAGTTCCCTGTCTTCTTTTTTTGGTTGCTTCCCCTCCCTCTCTCTCCCTCTCTCTCTTGCTCTCTCTGTATCGCTCCCCTCTCTTTGTTCCATATTGTGTCCTCACACTAGTAGATGGCACCGCTCGTAGAATAAGAGCAAAAAACAGCAAATTTCAAATAGTCGATGGCACCGCCCTATCTTTGGACCATACCCCTGTGCCAAGTCACTTTTTGTTCTTGGGGGTGTATACCATGCCTATCGCTCCTGATTTGTTGACTTTTTTTGCGCCGTCTGGTTTGACAATAGTGTAATTAATAAACAATGGGGCCGCCTTTTGGATTCTTCCCGCAAGAAGCCCAACGTATGTGCGCCGTTGTGGTGAAGCTGCAGGAAACATGGATTTTGTAATACATGTGTATTATGGCTGTAAATAGCTGAAAACATCAAGGAAAAAGGTGGAAGGAAAGGTAGGTGCAGGTGGTAACATGTGTTAACATGTGTTTTCCATGTGTGCATTGAACATGTCTTTGTTTCCCACATGTGACATGTGCTCATGAGCCATTCGTGAGTGGAAGCATGTCTGACCTCTCAAAAAACAAACGCCATCTATTATCCCCTGTCCAATGCTTGGTTTCTTGGTAAATTCTCATACCCGTATAGATGGCGCACAAATATGAAACCTACATGTTTCAACGCCAAGCACCTTCGGAATAGAGTATATATTGTTGTTTAGAAATGTTTAGATATGCTTTCAGTCAGGCAGCCAACTCACCAAAGGGGAGAGCGAGAGCAGGTGCAGGTTTTGTTTAGGAGGGTTTGATACAAGTAGAGTGATTTGCCTGATTCAGTGTTGGATATGCCCGCAAAGATGCAAGCAAGTCATATGGGAGGAAGCAGAAGTTGTGATGGGGCAGTGTTGAAGCTTTTTAGGCTTCGGTGTCGAATACGGGTGGTACAAACGATTGTGTAATAGAGTGTATGAAGGCTACAGCAATGTGAAAAGGACGTGAGGACAGGAACACATGAGGACATAAGTCCTAAGCTCAGCGTTGTGGGCATCACCATGCCGTGAAGCGGCAGGAATACCTGCATTTGGTCTCTTTGGTCAGGGGAATGGACACGCGGTGACACGCAGGCAAAGGGCAGTGGGTAGCTGAAGTTGGCGCAGCTGGCAGCAAAGGAGCCCCATGCATATGTGATGGACTTCGAGGTTACAACCCTTGCCTTCAAAATCACCAAGGTCACCAGCACAGAGTAGACAGCTGCCAGCAGTGCTGCGCAAGTCTGCTTTCCCAGCTGCTCCATTGAAGCAGTGGCCGTTCCTGGATAACCAAGGTGATGTGGTGCAGGATCAAGCCGCTGCAGTGAGGGCTCTTGATACGCATGTATGGGGCTTGCGTCTGCCCAATTTTTTCACAAATATATTCAGACAAAATTACGCCCGGAGGTCTGTCACAAGACCAACAATCACTTGCAGGCGTGAACGTCTCATAAAAACTGCTTTCACACTACAAAAACTAAGCATACCAAAAAACTGCCATGCTACTGACTCATGAGATTTCCTATTTTTATCATCAACCTCCTCTTCTTCGCCAAGGAAACACAACAAGCACCCGCCAGCTGCCTGGATTGACGCAGGAAGGTGGCGCTAGCTCAACGTCTGCGCATTCTTCGGGGTCGGCGAGCACGCCCAAAAGCACGGTGCCGATAAAGCCCCCCATGCCGTGAACGCCCCAGACATCCTCGAAGCAAGGCGTGGGCCCCCCAAGATGGGGCGTTACGGGAAGCTTCTTCGAAACTGCTTTGTGAGGAAGCGAATTTGTTAAGGGCGAAAAAGGTTCCACTACCTTCGACTATGATTGTCGGGTAAGTGCCTTTACTCGAGGCATCATGGCCATTTTCTAAACTTAGGTGTGCAGGGTCGGTCATCATGCCGTGGATATAGCCAAGAAAACAAGACATCATATTAGTGCAGCCTCGGAATCTTCAGACAGTCTTATGTGTTAAGCTAAAAAAGGATTGTGCGCTTCAGGCGTTCATTGAAACATCGAAAACAATTTTGTGGAAAGTGGCACCCTCAAGGAAAAGGGTGGAATCAATTATTGCTGGTGTACTCAGGGCGGCTAGCAGGGAACACATATATTGCTTGGAGTAGCTGTGTTCTTGCTTTTCTGCACATCATAGAGTTGCTCTGCCGAAACCTACAGGAAGAGTGAACGTTCCCCACGCAAACAATTATTTACCAGTAGATTTTCCTGCAAAGAATCTCTATGGTTCATGGTTTATGAATCAACCAATGAGCCTACCAACCAAGTGTTGCAACAAGGCTCCCAATGGGCACTAAGATACTCCGAGCTTCCAAGGCATCATCGAAGCCCAGCTTCTTCCGCAACTCACAGCATGCATAACAAAGTGTCGCTGCCGCGCAACCCAAGATGAAGGCACCCCAAGGCTGGATGAAGCCGGCCGCTGGCGTGACGGTGGCCAAGCCAGCGATGGAACCCACGCAAAGCCCCACTAATCCTTGGCCCATTCGACTGTCACAAGGCCCGCAATACAGAAAAACCTACAGGAATCTATAGTCCAAAGTATGTCCGTATTTGCGAGAAAATCTGTCCCATTGTTCATCGATGCTCTTGTTTCTTTCAAGTATGGACCAGATTCCAGGACGCCCACGGTGGATCCAATCGATGATCAACCAGAGGAACAAAGCCACTGAGGCCGCAATCTCCGAATTCACAGCAGCGCCGACTGCTGTGCCGCTAGTAGCCAAGGCAGAGCCTGGACACGTCCAGTCAACTTTCGCTCTTCTCCTCTCCTGTGCCTCCTCTGCTTTCTCCTCCTCTTGCATTCTGGCGATTGCTGCTGCTGCTGCTGCTGCTCTACGGTCTGAGGTAGCTGCTGCTTCTTGCTGGTTGAATCCGAGGGGGGCTAAGTACCGTCAAAGATCAAAAGCGTTCGCAAAAGACATTCACAAAATGCATGGTATCTACATAGATGATCATAGATGTATCTAGCATTTTTCCCAATCATAATCGAAGGACTGAGGAATCATACTACCAATATCCTAGTCCATCAGCTGCACAAGAAAGCATTCTCTGGGGTTGTTGAGTGGAACAACTCCATTCCGTGCCCGAACCAAAGCCTTGTCCAACGCCAAACTTGAGCACAAAAACCTCCTTCCATGTGTTGAAAAAGGGAAGGTCGGAAGGTCGAAGTGGGTAGTGATACAAGCTACTGTGTGAACCAGCCTCCCAAAGGCGAAGGACATTTAATGAACTTGTTTAACAATCGAAACCTGCCAAGACCACCCAGGCCGCGCCTGCGTTGAAGCCAAACCAGCCGAACCAAAGTAAGGCAGTGCCCAAGGCAACAAAGGGCACGTTGTGAGGTCTGTCATGGTCCTGCTGAGTGGATCATCGGAGTCAGGTGTCATTCCCTTTCAATCTCTACCCCAACCACATTCTACCGCATAAATGACCACTGCCCATGCTGTAAGCTTCCAATTGCAACCAATTCTGAGTACCAGAAACCTTTCAAACTTGACTTTACACAACACGACACAACTCAGTGATACAGCAGAACAAGAAGACACAGAACGACAACAGCTTCATGCAGCTTCCTCAGCTTCTTCTTCTGAGACTTCTCGCTTGCCCACCACAATCAAGCTTGCAAGAGCCGAGAAACCTGCTGTGACGTGAACCACGATGCCTCCAGCAAAGTCCCAAACGCCCCACTGTGCAAGCCAACCACCTCCCCAAACCCAGTGGCACCAAGGAGCATAGACCAAGACCTCAGCAAAGCATAATTCATGCAAAGCAAAGGAAGAACCCTAGTTGCAATTTGAGTTGCTCGACCCACGCAAGCCGTATCGCCAAATAACCTATAGCATCCTTTATGTCATATATCATACAGTATATCCTTTTCACTTTAATCCCTTTATACCTTTTGTACAACTTCCACGTGAATGTATATATGGCCTTCAGGTGGCAAAATGATGAGTGCCCAAATCTTGGATCAAATTTGCGCCCTAGATAGGTGTTGATGGTGCTTCTTCTTGTTTGAAATAAGCAACTGAGTGTCTACAAAGCTACTTTTAATATCCTTGTGAGACAGAGTCAGGGCACATGCGGCACGTGTTTTAAGTTGAACCACTTTTGAATGGCTGTGATTGAAAGACGCCTCGTGCTGCTCGTGCTCACGAGTTCTGTCTTCTCGCATGTGGTAGCTTCAACATAAACGATGTTTATTCTTTTGAATAAGGAACTGCACCAACACACATGCATTGCTGATATAAAAGTGCTGACGTGTTTTACAGGTTCCTCATGTTAACTGTTGAACTTTCTGGTTGTCTTTAGCATGTAAATTCCAAGTGAAAGCAATCAATACCTTCCAAGAATCAAGCCAAACAGCAATGAAAATTAAGTAGGGCTTGAAGCGGAAGCGGTCCGCAAAGGCTCCAGTCATCAAGGCTGGAGTAATCACTGCAAACATCCCTTGATATCCTCGATGCAAACAGAACTTTTTGAACCGCATTGTCCGGATAAGAGTGAAAAAACAAGTCCACAGTCGCAGCAGCAAATCTGCGGTTACTTTCTTACAGTCCCCCTTTCTCTGCAATGTGAAAAACATCGTGAACAAAACTGCAACCATACCTTTCTGATTCAGGTTCATCATAATTTCCAAGAACACCAACTCTATATGGGCCTGCAAAAAGAAGGCCGGGAATGGTCTGGTCCGGCAAGGCCTCATTGGTGTTGAGACCCCGAAGGCCCAAGTAGGTCCTCACGTAGCGGCCAAAAGCGGCCTTGTGCGCTTGAAACCATTCTTGTTTGGGGATAAGATAGGCGTGAAGTTTGGAGGGGTCGGGGTTTTGTAAGAACAATTTTCGCAGTGGAACAGTTTTCAAGAAGGTTTTTGGTTACAAGAAACCCATATAGTATATATGGACCTGAATCCCCGCACGACTTATTAGTAGACCCCGGTAGACAACCGATGCGCTTCCATGAAAGGTGCAGCCCAATTCATCACCAAGCAAAAGAACCGTTTCTTCAGGAACATACTTGCGCCACTTCAGGTCAAACAAAAGAAAATCAACCAACAAAGTCTCACAGGTGTATATAAAGCCTGCCGCGAAACTTTGCGAAGTATGTGCGGACTCTGCGCACAAGGAAGCGGCCGGAGTGGGTGGGAACTATATATATGAAAGAGCCAGATAGCCTCACATGACAAACTTTCAGAAAGAATCAAAAACCAAGCGCTTGCGGACAAAGCGAGTAGAGAGCACGGCAGCATGTAGCCCTGGGACTCGAAGGGGGCATTTTGATTGCATTCTATTTTTGACTCTGTTGGATGTTTAGCATGGGGCACAGGCCTATCGTGGATACCTGTGCCAAGGAAGCTGTTCCACGATGGTGGAAGCGGAGACTGATCACCCCCGTGTACCTGCTGAAGGTTGTGGCGCTTGGTAACCATGTTCTCCTCTAGAGTTCAGGCTGGTTCGGTGACGGGTCGCTCGATCGTCGAATTGAAACTTGGATACCTCATCCCTGGCATCCTTAGGCATTCATACCTACTAGGTGGGCGTGTGGCATTCAGTATGCATTTCCGAATGTGTCTGGCCTTGCGGCAGCCCGGAGTGATCCCAAAGAGTGCCCGCTGTGGCCCCATCGAATGGGCCTTCCCCATGTCCGTGTACAGAGCAGCCCATAGCGGACGGAGTTGACGACATGGGGTTGAGTTTGAGCAGGCTTAATGCCAGGAGTAGCCCGCAGCGGGCAAGAGCAGCCAGTCATTTTGGCACGGCCCGCAGCGGTCGTAGTTGACTCAAGATCCATTGTCGGAGCCTTATGTGCACACACCACATTTACGCGCAAAAACAAAGCAAGGCGATCCTAGTTTTTGTCATGGAGGTTGGGTTTCATCTTTTTCCGACCCCTTCATTTGGTTCCCCTTTCGTGTCTTCCCCCACGCGCGCTTTCCTTTCCTCTTTCTTTTCAGGTCTTTTCTGTCTTTGCTGGTCGTCTCATTCCTTTTTCTCGTTTGCGCGCACATCGTTCCGGCGCCTAGCGTACACGTGCACTTGTGCGTGTAAACCGAGTTTGAGGCCGCCCAGATTGTTATAAGGAGGTTTGGCTCATCGGTAGTCCCTGTGCACTTGGTTCCTTTTCATCGCAACTACCTTGGTCTTGTCTTGTCCTCTCTTCTTGGTCTTCTTCTTTTTGTCATCTTTGCGTGCGCGCGTGCGCAGAAGTTGGCGCCTTAACTCAAATTTGCCTCCCCTCGTGGGGGGGCCTTTTGGTTGCTTCTTCTTTCTGATGCTGTTGGATGTTTAGCAAGGGGCGGCCCATCGTGGATACCTGCGTTATGCGCAAACGCGGCACATGCAACTTAGAGGATGACGCCAAGTATCCCTCATACATTTACAGTCTCTTCAATCGGAGTCGTGAGCCTAATAGTTTTGCCAAGGGTTCTAGGCACTAGGCCCTTCACCTGCTGATACAGACTACTGGAATCGTGAGCAGCAGCCCCTGTGCTGCCTGCGTCGCCGTGTCCTCCACTCACGCGCGTTTGAGCTCACAAACCAAGCGCAAGCGCAAAATGCCTCCACGCCCGCAACACATTGGAGAGTGGCCGGTCTGGTTCTCTGGTATGACCGAAAACGCGGATCCATTTAGAACGAACAGCGCCCCCAGCGTGGACAACGTGGGAATGGCGCGATGTCTGCCGAACAGGGGCGCGCCCTCCCGGCCCCTAGCAAAGTGATGAGCAAAGCGGTCGCGAGCAACAATGCGAAGGTTCTGTGTTAAAGCCGGGTCAAAAACATGAAATGAACACGAGCGCGCTGCAGCTTGCCGTTCCGTTTGGTTTGCAGGCCAAGAGCCAAGACCCAGTGACCAGTTCGTCCCGCCTGCCCATACACAAGCTGGCTCAATTAAAGCTTGTATATCGGTACAAAAAGAGCGCCGTGCCGTCGTATCAGCCTACCTTGCATATTGGCCAAACTGCCGGGTTTGAAGACTAATGCGAGATTTGGGCTTTCCGGCAGCCGGAGCCGCGCAGCAGAGGTATGTGATGAGCAACGCTTGCGCCCGCAAACGGTGCATCTGTAAGTTGCTTGGCTTGTTTCGTGGCAAACACGTCAGCGTTTCTCAGCCACGCGAAGGCAAAGTCTATGCGAGACACTGGCCCCGCAGGATTATAGGATGTCGGTCCATGTTTTGGATCATACTTCAAAGCAGTCAAGCCATTTTTGAGCACCGCTTGGTTGAGGCCGAAGGATCACTGTGAAGAGTCCCACTGCGCTGCGTCCCGGCAAACATGAAGGTGCTTGTGCCTGAACGGCGATAGCCTAACGAGAGTCTACAGTTGAAGTCGAGCAAGCTGTGTCTCGTAGCCAGTTGTGAGAGCAGTGTCCACAGTTCCTCTCGACCGTGGCAGACTGCACAAACGAATGACCGTCCTCCAAAGCCGTTTGGAGATAATTGACAAATTACCTGCAGAGTGATGGGAGTCCTCTGTTTGGATAAACAGCCAATGTTTGCCCTGCCGCTGCCAAGTGGATACACACGACCACCTGATTTCAATCAGAACAAATGGCCAATGGTCCGCGTGCCAGCCCACAAAGGATTTCGTTGAAAGGTGTTTGCCACAGTCCTCCATGGATCGCAACCTAGCGCTTGTCAGCTGCATGTGCCGAGCAGGGAGTGTCCAGGCTTGGAGGAGAACTCATGTTGCGATCTATCCTCTGCCTTTGATTTGGGAGTTGGTCGTGTATGGCGTTGCCTTGTATGCGTCTCAAGACACTGATATAGCTGCTATAGCTGCGCTTGACTATGTTCTTCTGTTTTGCCCTGCTGTGTGCTGTAAGCTATGTGTAGTCGCAGGGATGTGACAATAAGATTCCTGCTGTCGTCTCCGCCATGGCTCGGAGACCGCCCTCGCCACAACACCAGGCCTCTCATAAGTGGCGTCCCTGGATTTAGGACCACGGTCCGATCAGCCAGTAAACAAGTGAAGACGAGGAGGAGACCCTGGGACCGGGCTTGATCGGAAGTGGCTTAGTTGGTGTGCTTAAGTTGGTGTGAGTGAGTGAGTGAGTGAGTGAGTGAGTGAGTGAGTGAGTGAGTG